TTGCTGCCATACGTATAGTTTTATTCATAGCTACCGTCACCACCACCACTACTACTGTCTTAGCCACTATCATCAGTCATCATCAGCACCGGCATCAAGATATAGATGCGAATGAAAAACCAGCAAAAAAATTGGACATTCAATCATCGGATGATAATAGTAGTAATAATGTCGACAAATCATTGACATCAACGGTGGCCACCAATTTGTTAGCCGCCGCCGAAAGCAACAATCAATTGCTAATCGCTAACAACAACAACAAGAAAAATAATTCAAGACATCATAGGATGTCAACTATAGATGATATCAGTGATGGTAATCACAGGTGTAGTATACAAGACATGCTTATTGGCGGCGGCGGCAACTGTCCCATGAGGTCATCGTCGTCGGCATCGGTAGCCGGCGTATGTCGACCCAACTATCAGCCGGCGCTCATTCAAGGCAACACTGCTGTCGTTATTACCGACGATATTATCCATGACGCCGGCCTGACCAGCGATAAGTTGCGGTCGATGGTCGATAGCGGCACAATTAGCTGTGTACCCAACGAGTCGGTGGCTGTATCGGTGGCCAACTCGGTTCACAACAATAATATTATCGACATAACCCGCACCACTACCACCACTACACCGTCATCAGTGACCACCACATCGGATGAGATGAATCGTATACTGTTGACAATTATACTGAATCTAATGACTAGAAATACCGGTGCTATCGGCGGTCAGGCCGATAGGTTACCTAATTTGTGTCCGACCTGTTCCTGTAGTAGTAGTAGTAGTAGTAGTAGAAACTGTGTCCACTCGTCGTCTACATCATTGGATACCATATCCAGCAGCAGCAGCAACACCGGTAATAGTAGAGCTCCCGTTGGTGGTAGTGGTGGTGGTGGCCAACCCTCGGCTGCCAGCGACCCGTTATCACAGTTGGCCAATGCTATCATCGGTATGGAACAGTTGAAACTGGATCTACTAAAACAAAAAGTCCAATCAGATGCCCGATTGATTAACAATAAGATAGCTATGGATTTGAATTTAATTAAAGCACAGTTAGGTCTAAGACAATCGCTGGTCAACTCTATAGTCAACTCATTGGGTGCCGTCGGCTCTGGCGGTACCGGCAATAGTAACAGTAAAAATAATAATAATAATAATAATAAACAAAATTATAGGCAATAAGTCTGATAAATAAATAAAAAAAATAATTTTTTTTAACTAAATAAATCTAATATTATATATTATATATATTTATTTAATTTTTTTTTAAATGATACATCAATTATTATTACAATAAATTAATTGCCTATTTTAAACATATATGAAATATCTATTTTAATAAAATTTAAATAAAAAATAAATTATTTATTCATATATATATATATTATGATTAATTTTATTTATTAATATATATTGTATTTTTAAATATTTATTTTTATTTTTTTAAATCAATTATTTTTGTTAGTAGTGTAGTCTATTTTTTTTATTATTATTGTTGTTGTTGCTGAATGTAAGTAAATTAAATTTATTTTTTTATAATCTCATTTATAAAGTATACTGATGATATATATATAAATTATTTGGGTCTAATTTAATATAAATTTATTTACTACTACTACTACTACTACTACTACTACTACTACATACTGTATATTTAACTGATCAAATCAAATATAACATAAACTGTTTATATTTATAATTAGTGTACTATTTGTATAAACATAAATAAGTACATATAGTGTATATATATATTATATTAAATAATTTATCTATTGATTAGTTGTCATTTTTTTTTGTTAAAAACAATTTGCTGTGTATGTATGTATGTATGTATGTATGTATGTATGTATGTATGTATGTATGTATGTATGTATGTATGTATGTATGTATGTATGTATGTATGTATGTATGTATGTATGTATGTATGTATGTATGTATGTATGTATGTATGTATGTATGTATGTATGTATGTATGTATGTATGTATGTATGTATGTATGTATGTATGTATGTATGTATGTATGTATGTATGTGTGTGTGTGTGTGTGTGTGTGTGTGTGTGTGTGTGTGTTTGGCCACTAATTTTTAAAATTTTTATTGACAATACCAATGAAAACATTATAACACAAACACATAACCGATAAATGTTTAGGTAAACTGAGAGAGAGAGATAGATAGATAGAGAGAGAGAGAGAGAGAGAGAGAGAGAGTGAGAGAGAGAGTTGATAGTTAAAGGGGTTATTATGCAAAATAAAGTCAACTATAATATTATACTATATTTAATATTAAATATACTTATGTATGAAAGTTGTTATGAAATTTGAGACCTAAATGTCGGGTTCATTACTGGCTCTCTCTCTCTCTCTCTCTCTCTCTCTCTCTCTCTCTCTCTCTCTCTCTCTTTCTTTCTTTCTGTTTATGAATATGTTGTCTAATGAATAAACAAAATCAAAATTTTATGAATAGCTAATGAACTTCTGTGCTCTCTCTCTCTCTCTCTCTCTCTCTCACACACACACACACACACACACACTCACACACTCTCACACACACTCACTCTCTCCCGGGGCATAACTTAATCAACAAACAAAAATATAATAATAATAAATTATAATATACTAAAAGTAAACTAAATTATTCAAAAAAAAAACTTTACCACAGAATAAGGAAAGGCATATAACATACAGTACTACTACTACTAGTAGTAGTACTCAATATCATAGCTCTCTCTCTCTCTCTCTCTCTCTCTCTCTCTCTCTCTCTCTCTCTCTCTCTCTCTATTAGTACTGAATATAAATTTGTATATTTGTGTGATTGTATAGTAAGTTAACTATAATTTTGAAAACCAAAAAAAAAAAATAAATAAAATAAACTAAAAACAAAACAGTCAAACATAATCATAGATATTCATACTATAATATATATTGAATTTTTAAAAAATCAAAAAAATAAAAATAAAATATATTATATATTCATAACAATTCACAAATGATTGTTTAATGATAGCCAAAATAAAATATGAAAATAAAAATATATAAAACACTATTTGTTAGTAACACTGAATACAACAAAAATGAAAAACATTTTTTAAAAAAATTATTATCGATTTTTTTTATTTATATGTATATCTAAACATACACACAAAAAAATAAATAAATAAATAATTAGATTACATATTATTTTTAATGATATACTATAATCATATACTATATAACCTGTATATATATATATACAATACACCTGTTTATATGTTTGTTAACTAAATAGATATACAGTATAATAGTTAACAACAAACAAAAAAATAAGGTTAAAGAAAGTTAGACATTATATATATATATATATGAAAAAAATATTATTTTAGTTTTTTTTATTAAATAGGGGAAAGTTATGTATCTATTTTTAAAACTGAAATTATTTTACATTTTATTTTACAACAACAACAAAAAAAACAAATAAAGATAATAATAATAATAATAATTTTTTTCTACAAAAAAACAAATTATTCAAAGTTTAGAAACAAAACATCAAAAAATTTATTTAAGAAAAAAAAATCTTTTTCAAAGTCAAACACACAAACATACAGTTAATATATAGGGGGACACCTCAACAACATGCATATCCATAACCAACTACACCATCAATACCAGCCCCAATACCATCACCAGCACCACCACCAACAACAACAACAACAGTATGTCGAGACTACCGCCGCCACAACAATACCACCAACAATATCACCGAAGATTACAGACACCGAATCGTTGGTCTGGTCGCTGAAAAACTGTAATACCGAGTATATCAATGCCAACAATTGTCTACAACTAATTGTCGACCACCAGTGCCAGTACTACCAGTCCCAGTGCCAGTGCCCATCGTCGGCCAGTGATACGGTTATAGTACATACAGTTCGCAAACAATTAGACTACATTTCCGGCCAGTTATCCGGTAAATCATATCAGCAACTAATCAACAACAATAGTTCATCAAACGGTTAGTTATATTTTACAAATATATATATAATTATTATTTTCTATGATAACAATAGGGCTATCATTTTCGGCGACGACAGCGGCGGCGGAATCAATGGCCACTCATGACCACCGAGTAGTCAACAACACGGGTTTGGCCGCCGATACTACTACTACTACTAGTACTACAGAGATCGACAACTGGCGTAATACTCAGCAATTGTTGGCCGAAAAGTATCGGCTACTATGTCTGCTACGGTCGGAACTGGTCACCGGCAACTGTCGCGGTCGCTGCCAATGTTGTTCAGCACCGATAGGATTGCCGCCTACCGAAACGTCGGCTATCAGCGACCATCTGGTCAGGTCAGAGTTCAACGCCCGTATGTGGTCCAGACAGATACAGTTGATTACGGCTAGGATTCAGTGCCGTAAACTGGACGTACCGTTTGACGCCTACAAAACTATCAGACAACTGGTTACTACCGGCGATAGTAGTATTAGTAGTAGTAGTAGTAGTGGTCAGCATATTGCTGACCCGTATCCGATTGGCTGCTGGCGGTCAGCTATATTGCCCGATGATGATAATGATGATTTTATCGCCAATTGTCATAATAATAATAATACACGTATTGATGATAACAGTAATACTAATAGTAATAATAATGATAATAAAAAAATATGTATCAAAATTGAAAAGTTAAGCCCAAATGAGTCCGACTGTTATAGTAGTAGTAGTAGTAATGGATTGTCGGCTAATGATTGTTTGTACGCCTATACTAATAATAATAATAATAATAATAATAGCGGTAATGATTATGAAACTAATAGTACCGGTAGTAGTAGTAGTAGTAGTAGTAGTAATGGTAGTGTCGATAATATCAATAATACTACTAATAATAAATTAGTAAAAAATATGCAAATATTAGGATCATTACAATCATTACTAACCACTACTACTACTACTACTACTACTCTATGCGAGGAGACAGTAGATGAAGAGGTAGTGGTGGTGGTGGAGGAGGAGGGGGAGGCGGACGAGTGCTGTTACCAGCAAACAGATACTACTACTACTAGTGCTAACCCTACCAGTCCTCTAGTTATACAACAACAACACCAGCATATCGATGATGATGTTAATGATAATGATTTGACATTATCACCAGTAAATGGCATACAAGTGATGGTAGTAGAGTTGGATAGCAATAAAATTAGTTCAAATAATAATATCAATAATAAAAATAAAATATTAAAGAAAACTATTAGAAATAATTTTCAAGAATTGCCTCCAATTAATATCAATACAAATAATAATACAAATAATAATAATAATGGACTCAATTATGATATACATCTAATGAGATCTACTTCTTCTACAACTACTATACTATTGGATCACGAGTTTGATTATACAAACAATAATAAAACTAATAATAATAATAATAATAATGTTAATAATGGCAATAGATTTGCTACACCATCACCACAGCCACCACCACCACCACCAACAACAACAACAACACCAATAGCTACCACAGACATCACCACTACTACCACTACCAGTGCCAGTGCTGATGATAATGCTATTACTACTACTACTACTACTACTACTACAAGTGCTGCCATAGCTGCTGCTGTTGCTAACAATTATGATAATACTAATAATAATAATAATTGTAACAATGATTTACTACAATTGCCTCATATGACTGCCATCGAGATCGACCAGATTTTGAACAACTAATTCAATTAATATAAAATAAAACTATACTTTCATATACTGTATAGACATTTAGTACAGTATATACTGTACTACAGCACCAGTCAGTCAATTAGCTCCCAATAGTACTATCAGTTTAGACAATATTATGTCGGATACAGTAATATATTCAATATATAATACAATATATATCGTATATATTATATTATATATATATAGTATAACATATGTATAACGAAAAATTATTTCTCGTTATTATTATTATTATTATTAATATTATTACATTTCATATGCCATTTGTCTGTATATATCTCTAAACTATGTTATATGAGATATTAATAATATTATACAATGTATAGTTGTATGTACATTAAATTGCATATATATATATATATGCATGTGTTATTTAGTTATGAATTGATTAGATAATTGTTTTAAAAAAAAACATAAAATCATTACAAATTTTTAATGTACACTTTTAACACACACACACACACACATTTTTGAAAATATTATCATAATATCATATAATTTATAATAATAATAATGTAATATATATATATATATATATAGTATATACCGTATAAGTTAATGTATATAATTTAATGATGACTTCAAATCTATTTTATTTGATTTTTTTTATTAATACTATCACTTAATAACATGATTTTGTGTGTGTGTGCTTTCATAAAAAAATATTATATTATATATTAAACTATATAATAAACTTTATAAACAGTTTAAGTTTGCTATCGATTATATATATATATATATATATACTGATATATAGTGTATATAAATATTTTTTAAAAATGCTAATAACATTAAAGTTTTAGATGGGAATAATAATCATCAGTAAAAATTCAATTTGATTTTATTTTGTATTATTATTATTATTATTATTATGCCATACGGTTTACTCTCCTTATCTGCAAAAATAATAATAATAATAATAAATAGATATTATTATATAAATTATATAAACTGTAACAAAAAAAATTGCTGAACATTTCATAAATATATATATATATATAAAAAATAGCTAAATTTTTAAATTATTATATTATAAGTTACTATATCAATATACTGTATATTAAACATTTTTTTTTGTTGAAATAAATTTTATTTATGTTGAATATAAATTATTTATAACATTATAACAATAGATATACTACTGTAATATTATAAACCTATTTTATAAACTAATTTTATAATCCTATTTAAATTGAGGCTTATTATACAAATAATAATAATAATAATAATTTTTAATATTTAGATATAAATATGTTTATTTAAGGAATAAGTATTTTTATTTTATTTTTAAAAAAATACAATTTATATAATTATCTAGGTGTTTAGCAATTTTTTTTAAATAATGTAAATCTGTATTAATTTTTAATACATAAACATATATTAAAAAATAATAAATTTTTTAAATGTTATAAAATATAATAGAATAAATATATAAAATTAAAAATAAAATTAAAAGTTTTATTTATTATTTAATATTTATTTTTTTTTTTGAAAAATAATTAATCAATAATTTGCTATACAATTTTTTTTTAAAGGATTAGGGTCATTTTTTGTTATTTTTGTGTGTGTGTCTATATATGAGTAAGTAATATAATATAATATGACATCAAAATTGTTTTCCACATATTATTATTAATATGGCTATCGATAGATGATATTATTTTTATTTTATTCATATAGCAAATAAATAAATAAAAAAAATTAAGTAAATAATTTTTTTTATAAAAAAAAATTTACCATAAATTTAGATTACACTATTAGATGTATGTGTTTGTATAATATATATTAAATATATTGAACAACAAAAAAATTTTAATATCATATTTAGGAAATTTGATAAAAATGCATTTAACTTTTATAAATTATATATATATATATTAGTGGCCTAAATATTTATTATATAAATATTTTCCATTGTTGTTGTCAAATATATTGTATTAAATAACACATATCTATATTATTATACTATCTATACTTTTAATTTTTATTATATAATTTGTATAAAAAAATTTATTTTTTAGGTGACACGGTATGTATAATATTACATATTATTATTATATATATATATATTAACAACCTATTTAATGTCAATAATTTTTTTTAGCTAGTTTATCATCATCATTAACATTATTATTATTATTATTATTATCATAATAATTATCAAATATTATGTATTTAATATTGTTTACACACAAATTTTTTTATTATAGTTTGTGAGACCACACAAAATAAAAATATGTTTTAAAAAATCTGAAAAACTAAAGTCAAAAAAATTTTTTTGTTGGTTCATTTTGTTTACACATTTTATATAACCTAACATAAAATGCAAATATAAATATATATAACTTTGTATAGTATAGTATAGTAAATGTGTTATTATTTTTCTACCAAAAATAAATAACTATATATATAGTGTAAATTTATTCAATAATAATAATATTGGTTTTTTCTAATATAAAATATATATATAAAAACGTTATGTTTTTTTAAATAAAAAAAAAACTATTGATAATGAATGTGACAAATATTGACTTTGCCTACGATATGGTCGAAAGGACGGGTATTATGTTTTATTTGGTCAGTCCTACAAAACTATATGAAAACATTGACTGTGTGCCCAATTTTATGCATAGAGTAAGTATAGTTAAAGTTATATATATATATATATAATATATAAACTTCAATATTTTGCATGACTTGACATTAGATGAGTGAAAAAAATAGTAATTTTTCATAAAATAAAATATTATATAATATATTTTTGTTAGATATATATATATATAATTTATATTTATATAATCTAAACAGTATATATTGGGTTATAAATATATCATATTTTATATTCAAAAATATTATTTATTAGATTTTTTTGGTTGCAAAAAAATATATTCTCCAAAAAAAAAATGTTTTATATTCACTTTTATATTTATATATATATATATATAAAATCATCAATATTTTCATATACTATTAATATATAATTATATTTCTATATATATATAACTAAAAATAATTTTTTTATGGAATATTCTTTATATTAGATTTAAAAAAAAATATTTTAAAAAGTAATAATTGTTTTATTTGTATGCTTTATAAATAAAAAATTAATATTATTATTATTTTATTATTATTAATTGATTGATTGGTTGATTAATGTTTGTTTGTTTGTTTTTATTTGTAGGCCTGGCCACAGCTTATCTATTTTTTTGCCATTGAACTAGTGATACGTTATTATCAACGTAAACCTGCCGTCCATTACAATGAAGTTATTATGCATTGCGGAGCACTTATGTTTGCATTTATATTTAGGTATTTATTAATAAATTATAATAATATTTATATATATTTTTTAATTTAATTTTTTTATTAAAAAAAAAATTTATGTTATATTTGATATTATAAAAAAAATTGCTGATTTTTTTTTAAATAATAAAAATAATAATTTTTATTTCTATTAAATTTGAATACATTATTATATATGCTGATAAAACATTTGATTATTTTAATTTATTATTATTAGTATTATTTAACTTGTATTTCTATGAATAGTGTTTTTTAATTTTAATTTTTAAAAAAAAACATTAATTCAATTCCGCTATATATAAAGTTATATAGTAAATCAATAAAAAATTATTTAACACATTATATAAGCTATTTTTAAATTTACAATAATTTTTTTTATTAATTTTATAAAAATTTTAACTTTTTATTATTATTTTTTATTCACAATAGATATTTACAATACTCGATGATGTTATCGGTATTTAATTATATACATAAAAACTATCGTTTGATACAATTGCCAAACAATTGGTTAGTTTGGTTTGGATCGCTGGTAGTAATGGAGCTAATGTTTTACGGCGCCCATCGTATGCTACATGAGATCAACTTTTTGTGGGCCAGTCATCAGTATCATCACAGCTCCAGACAGTTTAATTTGGGTACAGCTCTCAGACTGTCATGGTTTGAGCTAAACATTGTTTATGTAAGTATGTGTATGTGTATGTGTATGTGTATGTGTATGTGTATGTGTATGTGTATGTGTATGTGTATGTGTATGTGTATGTGTATGTGTATGTGTATGTGTATGTGTATGTGTATGTGTATGTGTATGTGTATGTGTATGTGTATGTGTATGTGTATGTGTATGTGTATGTGTATGTGTATGTGTATGTGTATGTGTATGTGTATGTGTATGTGTATGTGTATGTGTATGTGTATGTGTATGTGTATGTGTATGTGTTTTTATTGGAGATAAAAAAAACTTAATATCTATTTATATAAAACAAAACTTTTTAGGCTTAAACGCTAAAACATTATATTTGTATTAATAATAAACATATTATTAATATATAGATATATTTTAACTTAAGTAATAGGGCATATGTTTATGGCATTTATGCTTATGTATAAATATAATAATAATAATAATAATAATATCTATAATCTATGAAATATATTAGATATATTATTATTATTATTATATCAATTTATATATTAAAACAAAACATACTATACATACATATAAATAACTTAATTTGAACTTTTAATGGATATAATAGTGCACTATGTGTTTGTGTTGTTTGTATATTATATCCGTACTTTAATTTTTTTCGTAAATATATAGTAAATATTAAGTTATATTATAGACAGATAAATAAAAGTATAGTACAGTATATACGGTATGATATTATGGCTGTAGAAAAAAAAGTTAGCTATAAATCAAATCAAAGTATTAGACCTTTTATAAGCCTCAAAGTGCCTGAAATACAGAAATATCTTATATATATTTATTCTGTATATGACTTATAAGCCTTAAAGTGATGATATAGTAGTATAGAAAGAGAGAGAGAGAGAGAGAGAGAGAGAGAGAGAGAAAATGTCTTAACCATTAATAGCGATGCAAAAAAAGATTTTATATATTTTCAAGAAAATAAAACTTATTACATACACACACACACACACACTGAAAATATTATGTGATTTAATTTATACTATACTTTTTATATACAGTATATATATATATAGCCTTAAATATATCTTTATATCATATACTTGTATATATATATATAGTATTATACATCACTGTTGGCTATTGCAATACCGCCGCCAATTATGATAAGCCACATGCAATACATGTTCCTATACCAGGCCTGGTTACATACGGAAACTATTGGCAAACTGGGATTTTTTGTTGAATTTATATTTAACACTCCCAGCCATCATAGGGTACATCACGGTATGAATTCATAACTATTTTGATTTTTCTAACTATCATATACTGTATATACAGTATATAAATTCAATATACTGTTCCTGTATATAATCATAGACTACTATTACTAACCTGAAAATAACACACACAAAAAAAACTTTATTATTATTTTTTTTTTGTTTTTTTTTGTTTTTTAAACTAATCAATGATAGTGTCATCGATCAGACAAACAATAATAATAATAATAATTAACTGATTAAATGAATGAATTAAATGAAAAACACAATAAATACTCTCTCTCTCTCTCTCTCTCTMTATATATATATATATATATATATATATATATATATATATATATATATATATATCTCGCTCTCATACTTACACTTTTATCTTTAACTCACTCACCCATCTATTCACTTACTCACTCACCCACACATTTGTTTTTTTTTGTTTTCATTATCTGTGTGTTTGTATAGCCAGAAACCGGTTATATATTGATAAAAATTATGGCGCCTATCTAATAGTATTTGACCGTCTATTTGGTACCTATGCCGATGAACTGGAACCGCCGGTCTACGGTATAACCACCCGTGTCAGTGGTCACCAAATAATTGGCCAACAATTATACTACTATCTGCACATTGGTCGCAAAATTCATAGATACCGTCGATTGAGGCACAAATTGTTGGCCATATTTGCCGGTAATTATAGGGGGAAAATAAAGTGTTTTAATTAATTAATTTTTTATTAAATTTTTTGTTAAGGACCTGGCTGGCGTCCCGGTGCTCCACGACTAGGATTTCGTAATGATGACATACCCGATGTTATTGGTGTTGGTCCCAAACCTGGCCAATTGGCTAACATTGATAGTAGTAGTAGTACCGGTGCCGAGGCTGACAACATTGACCGACTAGACCTACCCCTATGGCAGGTCATGTATACATCGTTTACATGTGTGATAACCGTAATTGGTTTCTATATGTTTGCCAATCATTCACTAGTGGTTAGTATTAGTAATAATTATAATTAAAAAAAAATAATAATATAAAATAATAATCTAGTTATTTGAATCAATGATAAATTATTAAGTGATATAATTAATCTATAATAATTAATATAAATGATTTTGCAATGATTTCATTGAAAATTATTAACATTTTTATGTGTGATTTATACTTATACTTAAAATTACTATTTTAATTGAAAATTTAATTATATTTTCAATTTGTTGTTATTTTTTAAATTTTAATTTTTCAAATATTTTAGTACAGTATATTCATAAGTTTTTTTATAATGTTTTATTAATAGACATACAAACAAAAATAGATAAATTTTATATTAGTTTTTATTTATTATTATTATTATTATCTTAAATATTTTTTATTATAGTTTAACTCATCCGTAAAACTATTGTTTGGTATGATTTACATTATACTAACATTTACGGCAATTGCAGCCATATATGACAAAAGGTATTTATGAAATATCATTTATTTTATTTATTATTATTATTATTATTATAAATGTTTAGCTAATAATAATTTTATTTTAAAAGATAATATTTTTTTTTCGGTTATATTATTTATTATTAAAATTGTTTAAATTTTTTTTTTATTTTAACAGTCCATACCTTTATTATATACAATGTATACATTGTATAGCCTATTATCCATTGGAGTGGTATGTCCTACCATGGAGTCAACCATCAGTTGTGATGACTATTAAGGACTATATCTATAACTTTTTTACTATACCTAATGGTTTGGTAGGGCTGTCGTCTCCATCAGCATCACTGGTATATACTATATATCGATGGTATAGTACAGGAGCTGCACTCGTTTGGCTCATATTGTTAGCTAAGGACAGTTGGTTTGCCATAAAAACAGACAAACATGAGTTATATAATAATAATAGTAATACTAATAATCAACAAAATTATTTAATTATAAGTAATATTAATAATAATAAAATTCATAGACCTATTGGACAGTTGTTTGAAAATTTTATATTAAATTTTCAATTAGTTTTGTTAGTTATTTTGATAACAATTTGTTGTCAATTTGAATATTTTAATCAAAACTTTATGTAATTTTATTTTTAATTAATTTTTTTGAACAAATTTTATTAATATAATTTATAATACTATTTATATTTAATTTATTTTTTTTGTTGCTATATTAATATATCAATAATAACATAATTATTTATTAACATTTTTTTTTTATTATTACTAATAGTTATACTAATTATTTATGATTAAAAAAATATTTATACATTTTATAATAAATTTTTAAATATTTCAATAAAGATTAATAATATATATTGTAATAATAAAAAAAAATATTATCAACACATTTATACTCTACTTATAGTTTATATACAAATTTTATTAATATATTGTTATTATTATTATTTTGTTGTTGTTATAGTTTGTTTAAATTGAATACAAATATTTAGCCATAAAATAAAACTAAAAATTTTTAAATAACGGTTATTTTTAATTTTAAAATTTTAAATTATTATTATAAATTATTTAAATTGCATGTATTGTTACATTAAAAAAAATCTATTTAAATATTTTTTTTTAAAATAACAATAAAACTTAATTTAATTATATATTATTAAACCTTTATTTTCTACTAACACTACAACTACTACCACTACTACCACTACTACCACTACTACCACTACTACCACTACTACCACTACTACCACTACTACCACTACTACCACTACTACCACTACTACCACTACTACCACTACTACCACTACTACCACTACTACCACTACTACCACTACTACCACTACTACCACTACTACCACTACTACCACTACTACCACTACTACCACTACTACCACTACTACTACTACCACTACTACCACTACTACCACTACTACCACTACTACCACTACTACCACTACTACCACTACTACCACTACTACCACTACTACCACTACTACCACTACTACCACTACTACCACTACTACCACTACTACCACTACGGCTAAAATCTATGTTGTAAGCACCGTTTTTTATATTATTTACACGCGCTATTGTTTCAATCATTTTAATTGTATTTCACGCGATATTGACAGCTATTACTATTATACAGTAATCATATAATACATTTGTATAATACCATTATAATTAGGTTAAGGTTGCGGTCCGAACACCAGGTTAGGTAACCGAGCGAACACTAATACAATAGATTAGGTTAAGTTAGGTTAGGTTAGGTTAGTTAAATAGAAAATGATCTTATTTTTGCTTAAATTTATCTACTTTTAATTTATTAATTATAAAAATACGTGTAAATATCGCGTGAAATACAATTAAAATGATTGAAACAATAGCGCGTGTAAATAATATAAAAAACGGTGCTTACAACATAGATCGGCTCCACCACTACTACCACTACTACCACTACTACCACTACTACCACTACTACCACTACTACCACTACTACCACTACTACCACTACTACCACTACTACCACTACTACCACTACTACCACTACTACCACTACTACCACTACTACCACTACTACCACTACTACCACTACTACCACTACTACCACTACTACCACTACTACCACTACTACCACTACTACCACTACTACCACTACTACCACTACTACCACTACTACCACTACTACCACTACTACCACTACTACCACTACTACCACTACTACCACTACTACCACTACTACCACTACTACCACTACTACCACTACTACCACTACTACCACTACTACCACTACTACCACTACTACCACTACTACCACTACTACCACTACTACCACTACTACCTTTGTCTGTCACTGTTAGACTCGGATGCCTTCAAACCGACCATTTGGTGCCAATATTTTGCACACCGACTGCTGTTTCAACCAATTAATAAACGACAAAACAATAACAATAGTAAACAATAATAACATTCGGGATATTCAATGAAAATCATTGAAATTTAATCACTATTTTGTTTACATGTCTTAGTTTTAGCAGTTGTTTTGGGTGACAGTAGTGTCCAATATTGTGGTCAACGATGTTGTTGTTATCAATTTTGGCCAAATGTTATGACCAGTTGTTTAGTTTAGTTTATCACCGGCCAGATAGCCATAGTCGACAATACCGACGACCACTGGCCAATAGATCGTCCGGTAAATTGTCGATAAACTTTGCGATAGAAATAATTATTTGCTTTTTTTTTGTTGCATTCATCGGAATCTATTGTTTTATTTTCCAACAAATATATGAATTTTGCGACACCTTTTACGATGTCTGTCCATAACTATTACATAGTTTGACGACTCGTGGGGTACGGGACTGAATACAATTGAATCCATATTGACTGCATATTGCAAATCCTATTCAGATTTCAATTGATTATCCGATCCATTGATGTTTTTTTGAAGACATCTAACACCAGTTATTTCAACAATATCTCCATTTTCCTAATAAAAACATTTATATATTTTTGTTAATAATAATTGCATTAAATACTACTACTACTACTACTATTACTACTACTACTACTTTAAACATAGAAATATTGACATATCATAGGCATTACATTAGAATACAACTATAATTTAAATTTAACTGATAATCATTTTAGACGCTTAGTTAGTATAGTTTTAAAACGGCAAGTTTGGCCAAATGTTTGTTTTGTAATATCGTTGTATGTCTCAGGTCTATTGTCTATCTATTGTCACCAATGGTTCAACAATACTACTACTACTACTACTACTACTACTACTACTATTATTATTATTATCAGTATCGGTGGTGTTGGGAAACGATACTTCAAATATTAATTGTTGTATAACTGTCCGAGTCGTACATCATATAGATATCAGTATAGTTTTTCAGCATTTCGATGATCGACATACCAAATCATCTGACCATCCAAACCAACCAAATGGTGCCAATACTCTGCAAACCCGACTGCTGTTTGAGACCAATGAATAGAAGACAAAACAATTACAGCAAACAATAATAACAGTCGGGATATTCAATAAAATTATTGAATTTAAACAACTATTTTGTTTTTTTATTTGTTATCATAAATTATATCTTTAAATATCTTTAACTAAGGCTCAGGTATTGACAAAAAAAAAAGTGTTGTTTTGTTTGTAAACTCAGAAAATAAGTGAATATAAATTTACTCAACAAATAGGCGTTAAATTATAGATAAATTTTGTTTTTTTTTTGTTTTTATAGATACTATTAATCTATTAGTTTTTGGGGTCTCAGCACTTGAGCACCAATCGTATCGCTTCGTATTGTCGTCAAGCATACAATAGCCAATCACAGCTCAGTGTTGTCAACGGTTTTACTGTTGTCAACCTGAGCTGACTATATAAAGCATTTACACTACTGCCGCACCAGTAGTGCCTAACAATCAGTCCGCACAGGCACTCACTAACTAACTAACCTTCTCACAAACATTACTTGGCTAATCCGGACTTTACGCACATAAGAAAAAATTGATATTTTTCAACAGATAATTGTTAATTAGTACCTAAAAAGCATGTATCCATCAAAATTATTGCGCGGAAACACCTAAAACCCAACTAAAATCTAACCTGAATACCTGAGCTCTCATAACATATTTATGCAGTAAATATTTAAAAAATTAATATTAATCAATCGCAAAGCGCGTAAACAAAATTAATATTTATAATATTATAATAAAATAGTATTGTTGTCATTTCTTTATAATACTTTAAAAATAACTAATTGTCCACGCGGAACATATAACCATATAATTTATAAATTTATAGTAGAATTTATAAATTAATTAAACCACAATAATAGTTTCAAAAAATAAATCCAATATATGAAGGTTATTTAACGTGACAAACACTGATTCGGTAACCCCAGTACAGCATAGATTAGGTTAGGTTACCATTGAAAATTAGGTTAGGTTGCGGATCGAACTCCAGGTTAGGTAACGCGACAAACACTGATTCGGTAACCCCAGTACTGCATAGATTAGGTTAGGTTACCATTGAAAATTAGGTTAGGTTGCGGATCGAACTCCAGGTTAGATAACGCGATAAACACTGATTCGGTAACCCCAGTACTGCATAGATTAGGTTAGGTTACCATTGAAAATTAGGTTAGGTTGCGGATCGAACTCCAGGTTAGGTAACGCGACAAACACTGATTCGGTAACCCCAGTACTGCATAGATTAGGTTAGGTTACCATTGAAAATTAGGTTAGGTTGCGGATCGAACTCCAGGTTAGGTAACGCGACAAACACTGATTCGGTAACCCCAGTACTGCATAGATTAGGTTAGGTTACCATTGAAAATTAGGTTAGGTTGCGGATCGAACTCCAGGTTAGGTAACGCGATAAACACTGATTCGGTAACCCCAGTGCTTTTTTGGGTTAGAATTAAAATATTGTTTTTGGGAAAATGTGTCAGATATATATATATAAATCCAGAGATTATTATCTTAAAGTATTATCTTGATAGTCATTGACAACAATATTATTTTATTAGAGTTATTATAAATGTTTATTTAGTTCTCGCGCTTTATAATAGATTAAAATTAATTTTTTTATAATTAGTGTATAATTATGTTATGAGAGCTCAGGTATTTAAATTAGATTTTAGTTGGGTTTTAGGTGTTTCCGCGCAATAATTTTGATAGATATATGTTTATTAGGTACTAATTAACTATTTTATGTTTAAAAAAATCAATTTTTTCTAATGTGCGTAAAGTCCGGATAGGCCCATTACTTTTCAATCAACCAATAAATAAATTTCAGCTTTTCCCTACAACTCGGTGTCCACTTTATTACCATCGCTGGCTATCATCGGTACACTCACGCTAAGCAAACATAGCGACCGACCACTTATACCTTTAAACCGCTATAAATTTAATATAAATAACTTATACGCGATAAAAATTGTTATTATATTGTTATTTTTAATATATATATATCAATAACAATATTAATATGAATATAAAAATAAATCTAAATAAATACTTTAATATTTGTAATATTAATAGCAATAATACTATTGATTGATAAATAAATATATAAATATATAAATATATATCCAGATTAATAATTATTTAAACAACAAAAAAATCAGAAAATATAAACTAGAATTTGCAAAAAAAGATATTTAAAAAAATTATGTTTAAAAAGATTTTGTTAGCATTTCATTTGACCCCAAAGTCAACCCTTCAATAGTGACGTTAATATTTGCCGACGACTTAACCTCTCGACCACTTGTTGTTGTCAGTCGTATACATCCAATGATCGGATGGTCGCCAATGAGTCTTCATTGGTCTTCGGTTTTAATGTCTATAATACAAAAAAAACACTTTTTTTGGACGACTCAGTAGTTTTTTTAGAAGTAGTAGTAGTAGTCGGTAGTGATTCCGATATAGTGGTCAACAATGTTGTTGTTGTTGTTGTTGTTGTATTAGTTTTAGCAGTTGTTTGGGTGACAGTAATGTCCGATATTGTGGTCAACGATGTTGTTGTTAATTAATTTTTAATAAAATTATAGTTAGATTTTGTTAACATTTCATTTGAAAGTCAATCCCCAATAGTGTCGTCAATATTTGCCGACGACTTTAAACCCTCGACCTCTTGTTGTTGTTGTTGTTGTGAGTCGTATACATCCAGTGGTCGGATGGTCACCACTAAGTCTTCATTGATCTTCGATGTCTATAATAAAAAAAAATACAGAAATTCAATAAAAAAAATTATTAATAAATATATTATTAATAAATATATTATTAATAAATATATTATTAATAAATATATTATTAATAAATATATTATTAATAAATATATTATTAATAAATATTTTTTACATATTTGTCTTCTTTAGGTGTTTTTGAGTAATAAATTATTAGACAAATGACAATAACAATGACGACAATAATTATTATGACAATCACTGGTATAATGTAAGTCATAAAACCATTTTTGTTGGTCAAGTCATTAGATTTAGCATTAGTTTTGAAATGAATCAGTAGTTTTATCAATGATTTTGAATGTTTTAGTAGACTTAGCGGTAGTTAGTGGACGACTCAGTAGTTATATATCAGAGGTTTTGGGTGACAGTGGTGGACCGATATGGTGGTCAACGATGTTGTTGTTGTTATAACTTATGGTCAAATGTTTTTACAGTCGATGGCCTACAGTTTGAGACTGTGTATAGATTTGCACTGAAAATACAATTAATTAGGAAAACAAATAAAACTAATTGAATTAGTTTGACAATTCATTGGCTACGGGACTGAATACTAATGAATACAATATCTGGTGGTAATGTTTGTAACCACATTGTTGTCCGGTATTATCACCAGTAGTTCATCAGTACTGTCATTATTGACTGCCGGCTTAGTATTGGTGTTGTTGTTGGGAAACGACACTTCAAATTAAAAATTGTTGTCAGAAATGATTGTACATTATATAGATTTCGGGTATAGTTTTTGGCATAACTATAGACGACATTCCGATTCGTGATAGACTCGGATGCCTTCAAACCGACCAATATTTCGCACACCGACTGCTGTTTGAGAGACCAATGAATGGACGACAAAACAATTACAACAAACAAATAATAACAACGAAATATTCAATGAAAATCATTGATTTTAATTTTTGTTATTATTATAAATTATATCTTTAAATATCTATTTACTAAATATCATGTATTTGTTATGTCAATATATATAGTTTAGTTTATATAGTTTTATCAATTAATAATAATTGGATAATTTTGACTGCGGGCTGTTAACCTGTACCGAGTTATCGCCAATTTTTTTTTTCGGCCGAAAAATCCTATGAATAAGTAGTTAATGACAATTACGGCCAAAGTAGTGGCCACAATGTTGTGATCAAATCTGGTCAGTACCGCAAACCTATTTGCTACATCATATTGAAAATTCGTTCAAATCGATGATCATATTCTGGTAAAAAATTACCGAAATACCGTTTGTACTATACATAGTGTATAATACTGTATTATTATCACTAAACGGGTCAGTTTGACCCGAAGACTTGCTTGAGGGACAATTATGTTCAATAGACAACTTGTTGGCCATCCGAATACAAAGGATAATATGGTGTAAATATGTCTGACCGATGGCCGCTACCCGAGTTATTCCCGCCCGAAGGAAATTCTTCGGGAACTTCTGGTCGTTGAACAGGTCCAAGGCCTGACAAAAGTTTTTCAATATAATGATAATATATGAGTGGAAAACAACTGCAAAGTATCAAACTTGCCCGCCGGTCAACCGTTTGGCCACTTAACCTGTTCTGAGTTATCGGCAATTTTTTGTTTTTGGCGGTCAAAACTATGAACAAGTAGATGATGGCCTTTACGGCTCAATAATTGGCCAAAATGTTTAGATATTTGTTATCTAATAGACAAGTTTCATCCAAATCGATGATCATCTTGTGGTCAAAATTACCGAAAAGTCATGTTCCCCATACATTACAAACACATACAATACAATGCAATGTTGTAATCACGGGACTGGCCATTTTGACCCGAAATCATCAATATAGACAATAATGTCAAACAGACAACTTGCTGGTCATCCAAATACTGTCCATAATATGTTGGTACGGATGTTGACCGATGTCCGCAACCCGAGTTATACCGACTTGCCAAATTATACCGTCGCGCCGAACCGATGGCTGGCCAAGTGTTTTGAGTGGCTGATTATGGACCAAATCAATAGCCAATCAGTTACTTTCAATCTTGACTTCGGGCGGTTAACCTGTACTGAGTTATCGGTAATTTTTATTTTCGGCCGCCGCATTACCTATGTAACTAGTAGATGATGGCCTTTGAGGCCCAGGTAGTGGCCACATATCTGATCAGTATCGCACACCTATTTGCTATCTGTTACCGAAGTTTGGTCCCGATAGGTGACCAACTTCGAGATAAATCGTCGAAAAACTTATTTATCCCATACATTTCAAAACACACAATACAATGCAATGTTGTAATCGCGGGACGGGTGATATTCACCCGAAAACATCAATATAGAGAATAATGTCAAAGAGACAACTTGTTGGCCATTCAAATAGTGTCCATATTATGTTGGTACGGATGTTGTCCGATGTCCGCAACCCGAGTTATAAAGATTTGCCAAAATGACGGTCCCGCCGACCCGATGGCTGGCCAAGTGATCTGAGTGGCTAATTCGGTGGCTAACCAATAGTCAATCACAACACTTTCAATCTTTAATTAGACGAGTAATCTGGACCGAGTTATCGGCAATTTTTGTTATCGGCCGAAAACCCAATGATTCAGTAGATGATGTCCATTACGGCCAAAATAGTGGCCACAATGTCGTGACATATCTG